CATCATCACCACCATCACCACCATCACCATCATCACCACCATCACCACCATCATTACCAAGAAGACATGCATTAACCATAGAGATATGTAAAATAAGAGAGCATATAACACCAACATAACATATGCGAGCATAAATAATTACTTCAAAGAAAGGGAATAAAAGGATAAAAGAAACAAAATATACCAGATAGAAGACAAACGTGCAGAAACAATCGTTGACATGGACAGCTTAAAATAATTTTGACTCCAATGTTCTAAATTCTAAATCATCCAGACAGGGCGCAATAAAAACTTTCCAAGATGTAACATAAATGATTGATTGAAAAAAACAGAAGTGTTCCAGCCCCAAACAGACAAAGACACACACAAAATTATTCAGTTGTGTAGTTTTATTTAAATAGTCATTTCAAGTTTTACTCCAGTTTAAAAACCTTGGTTTTTTGTACGGTAATTGAGCTTTAAATATCTTCCATTGCATTTCTTAAATGTCGTTGGTAAATTCTCCTGAATTCTTCATCTTGTTTGCGCTGTTTGTCTGAAAATGATTTCAAAAATTATAAGCAAAAAAAGATTTCAGTTTGATCTATGACGAGAATGCATGTAATGATAAGGCTCATGTCAAACGTCAAACTTCACATGAATGTGCAGAACATAGTTACATCAAAGAAGATCGACTGGGTATCCATTGCTTCAATAAGCCTTTTCATAGTTTAAGAATTGATTCCACTGCGCATGCGATTTTATCCCGAATTTCTCACCTTCTTTTGTCTAAACCTTCTTTTGTTCTTAATTAAACAAAAGAAGATGAGAAATTCGGGATAAAATCGYATGGGCAGTGGAATCGATTCTTAAACTATGAAAAGGCTTATTAGGTTTGGCTCACGTGAATTGCGATGTTTTAACCCCCGGGGGGGCTCCCTTATCAGTAAAAGGGGGCGGGGGTCCTCGTCGGAAACTCCGAAAATGACCCCTAAAAGGGACCTGTATTTTGGGATGATGGGCGTGGCAGTAATGCAATTTCACTCCTAAGAGGGACCAATCAATAACGCATTTTTTTGTTTGGTTTCTCGATTTTATTTTCATCAAACGCCGTCTGCTCTAACGAATTTATGACGACGTCGTCATATTCAAATCGTTTGCCTTTTTGTAGATGTTATACCCTAAAAGGRACCACAAAATTCAGTTGGTGCGCATTCCCGTCGTTATCACCCTAAGCGGGACCAAAACCCTGATTTCAAACCCTTTTTTCCCCTTTCATTAGGAAGTCCCCCCCCCCCTCCCCGGGGGTTTAACCTG